GGGCTCCTCGCTGCTGCTGCGGGGGAGCCCGGGCCTGGTGCGCGGGACCGCGCTTGGGCCCGCCGAGAGCCGCCCCGGGACGCGGAACATGCGAATAGCAGCCTAGTGGGGGCGGGGGCGCTGGGTATTTCTGTCTGCTGATCGACTTCTGGTAGGGAAGAGTGCCTTGGTGAGAGGGGAAAAGAGGGGTCAGGGTGTCACCGAAGACCGGGAATAAACCTCGTAACACCAATGTAATATTAAGAAGCAGGCATTCACTTTATTGCAGTGCTGGCCGCACGGGGGATAGCTCCGCCCATCGTGCGCCCCTAAGGTGTGTTTGCCAAAACTTTTATATCTCTTATTATCTACATATGCGTTAAGCACTAGGAGTGATCATAGATATTCATTCTATTTCCCGGAACTAATTGCAATATACCCCATCTGTGTGCCCTCTGTCCCTTTGGTGGTCTCTGGTGGTCTTTTAAGACCCCCTGGTGGTTGTCTTGCTGTGTCCACTTGATGATGACCTGGTACTTACTTCTGTATGTGGCCCCGTTCTGGCTCAGAGGCCCTGATTTGGTCCTACTGCCCGGTTCCAGACAGTTCTTTGAAAACATGGTGGTCCTTATCTTTGTCTTGTACTGGTCTTTGCTGTTTTGTCCCTATTCTCTCATGATGTCCCAGGAACATCTGCCGTTTTGTCTGTACTTTCAGACAACAACCATGAAAATTTGTCCCTGGGTGCATTCTCTTCTGAAGTTTCTCATAGCAGTTGTCCCCTTTGAGATTTCCAAAGTAAGGTGTATTTGGGAGTCTCACTTAGACTGCATAATTCCGGCAATACCTTTGGTTCCTCCTGCGACACTGGTGAGAGCAGCACACCATAACTGATGGACAACACTGAACTATTACACAAGTTATAAGAATTTTTAAAATCAAAGTAGTATGTAGCAAAGATGACAACCACACATTGAGGGAAATCTCTCCTATTTTTCGTAAAAGTTTGTTTAACTATGTGGTTTCCATATCCTTTCTAAGATCTTGGGCCTGTCGGGACACCTTTTGAATCTGATCTATTTGCTTACTAAGGTCCTCAGTGACATTAGGAATATGAATACAACAGTGATCTGAATTTAACTTCAGATACCCACAGACTCCATGTTCTTTAGCTACTAAAAGGTCTAGAGTGAGGCAGTTCTGAAGTGTCATCCTTGTATTCACCTGGATCTGCTTGTTAAGTTGTGAAGACCCTTTCTTTGTTGCTTTTGCTAATGTTTCTACCTGCCATGTAAGATTTTCAAGCAGAAGTCTGTTTTCCAAAGCCATAACCCCAGATATTAAAAGACTTGTAGACCCCAGTCAGTTTTAACAGAAGTACTGGGTACTTGCCAATCATCTTCTTCATTTTTCAGGGGCTCTTCTAATTTCTCCCCAATGTTTGGGCTTAGTAGGTGTTCTCTTCCAAGCTGGGCATAATGTAAGCAATCCCAAAGTTACTGGGATACTTACATTTAGTATATGACAGTCATGTGCTCCATAGCCCATCTGCAAGGACCCGCACGCTATACCCAGGTCTCGGAATTGCTGAATTTTTGGCATACTTGAATTTCATTCTTACAAATGTGTTGTACTTTAAAAGACTGTCTAATAGCAAAAGGCAGACTCTCATTTTCACACAGATAGGGTGATCGAGTGATCTCTGTAGTGCGATTCCATCCTGACTTGATATAATTGTATCTATGTGTATCTCCCCATCTAAAACACCAATTAACCGGGGAGATATATTTCCAATTTCATTGTAATCTCTTTGCCCAAGCTTTGGGGCCATTCCTCAAAAATTGCATTCTGGTAATTGTGACACGCTACGAGCAGTATGGTCATGTGTGACACACAAGGTTAGAAGCTCCGCTCCAAGGTTAGAAAACTTCCTGTTTTCCTGCGTGTTCAGCCACCCGCTCAAGGAAAGGAGCTTCTAGCCTCTTGAGCCTCTTGATTTTGGGGTGTTGATGCCCCAAAACAGTTCTGTTATCTCCTTCCCTCCATAGCGTTGAATCCTGCAATACATCACTTCCTCTCTGCCTACGTTTCTTCTCTTTATCTAGGTTGCATTTGCTCTTCTTATGGCTTCTGTTATGTTATCCAATTTTAGGAGATCTGTCATACTGATCGGTATTATGCTGCAAGGCAGGGGATCTGCTGCCGAGTGAGGTATAGGGAGGCAGGCTGTAACACTTGAAAGCCTGTTCATGCTTCCAAATCCTTTCACTATGCTAATTACCATATTATTCTCCCAATTTATTGTTTCTGCTGTTTCTGCTCCTCTCTTTTGTCTATGTGTGGGAGAGGAAGCCCTTTGAAGATGGTCAGAGAGATATGTGTAATGAGCATAATGCAGGGGATCTCCTGTATCATTCTGAATCCAACATATGTATTTCGTGCAAGTAGCTTCAATTCTTGGGTGCCTCACCTTGATAGAGATGCAACACTCCTTTGGAGATTGATGCTGGGCCATACATCGTAATCCTTTTATCCCTCTAATGTACATTTCTAAATGAGAATGATACTTATTATCTATTCCTCCATCTAAATTAAAGGAAAGATTCCCCCATCCTGTATGGCAACAGTATTCCAGCTCTCATTCCTCTGACCACCCTACCTCAAACCCACTTTGTGCATGGTTCTCGCTGCTCACATTTTTCCATAATGTTGTTGTATGATTGGATTTAAATTTAATAATCACTTCAATCCAATTCTGTCCGCTCCCCTCCCCCCATAATATAGCCAGTATTATTAAACCTAACAATATGGCAGTTTCCTTTTCTGGAGATCTCATAGTTTCCATAGATTTTCGTTTTTTAATCCTCCACAGTATCATATGCAAGAGGTCCTCAGTACATTCGCACTGGTATCCTGCGGCTGCTTTCATCTTTGTGTAATGAACCACGGTTCAATACTCTCTACCTTTACTGCACTGTGGGCTGTCAAGAGTACTTGGAAAGGTCCTTTCCACTTTTTCTTCAGTTGTTTTGAGCTCCAGGCTTTCACACAGATGAAATCTCCTGGTTGATAAGGATGAGCTGAAGTATCGAGAGGAAGGGGTCCCGTCAGGACAACGTGCCACCGAAGAGTTGTCAAAGTCTTTCCTAAAGAGATTAAATACAACTCTCCAGGGAGTGCTGGTGCTTGATAAGGCATATGGAAGTCCATTCATATGGACTGATTTTATTTCTTGCGTAAGGTTGGATCCTGATTCTCAAGAGGGCTAATGGTAAGGCCATTTCAATGAACTTTCCTGACATATTTTACTAATTTGTAGTTTAAGAGTTTGATCATCCTCTCCACCTTCCCACTTGACTGAAGTCTCCCAGGAGTATGTAGATGACATTTATTCCCGAGAATCTTCTCAAGTTGTTTTACTATATCAGCCACAAAATGAGGACGTCGATCAGAGGATATCTCTATTGGAACACCACACCTGGGTATGATTTCTTTCAAGAACACCTTGATTACCTCTCATGCCTTGTTGGTGTGACAGGGAAAGGCTTCTGGCCATCCTGAAAAGGTGTCGATCATCACCAGGAGATACCTGTAGCCACATTGTCTCAGTAGCACTCAGAAGTCAATCTGCCAGTAGTCCCCAGGGAAATTAACCTGTTTAATAATTCCTGGGGGAAGCCCCTTTCTATTCATTGGGTTATTTCTGAGGCGTAGAGGGCGCTTTGCAGTAACAGATTTTACAATTCCTGTCGATACCACACTGATAACTGAATTTACTAAATTAGAAATCATAGCCTCACTTTCCCAACTTTTCTTTGTGTTTCCTTTCCACGACCTTGGTCATTATTGGCTGAAGGACAACAATTTGTTTCGTTGGGGTCACTAACCATCCTTCGTTAGTCAATGTTGCATTTCGTGTAGCTGCTAATTTCTTATCTGCCTCACTATACTTAGGCCTTACCTCTGGGAGCTCAATCCTTTTTACCGGTGCTAGAGCCAGGATGCCTTGTTCAGCAGCCTCCTTTGCAGCTTTATCAGCCAACCTGTTTCCCACGTATACGGCTGTCTGACCAAATTGTTGTGCTTTACAATGCATTATGGCCACCTCTCTCAGTCATCTTATGCCCTGTAAAAGCTGAAGGATTTCTTCCTTATACTTGATAGGTGATCCCTGAGAAGATAACAGCCCTCTCTCTTTCCAGATGGCTCCGTGAGTGTGGACCACTGTGAACATATATTTGGAATCAGTCCATATGTTTACCTTTGGTCTTTGGCTGTTCTGGGAGTCTGGCTCAATACCACCAATTCTGCCTTTTGTGCGGATGTATTGGCAGGAAGGGACACTGCTTTTAACACTTGGGTAGTGGTAACTACTGCGTATCCAGCAGTCTGTCTTCCACCTCGTACAAGACTGCTGCCATCTGTGAACAACTCCAAATCAGGATTTGTTAATGGCTCATCCCTTCGATCCAGTCTACTTGAATACACATGTTCAATAGTCTGCAGGCAATCATGTATAGAGGTTCAGAGTCCCCTATTTTGGAATTCAAAAACAGTGCTGGGTTAATTGCTATGATGGTTTTAAGCTCCACATCATCCTGCTCTAATAGGACAACCTAATGTTTCAGCATATGGCTGGGAGACAACCAATGTCCTCCTTTTTGTTCCAGAACAGATGTTACCATATACGGCACATAGACTGTAATCCTCTGTCCAATCGCCAGCTTTCCAGCTTTCTGAATCAAAAGGACGGTTGCAACTACTGCCCGCAAACATCCTGGCCATCCTTTACTCACATTGTCCAGCTGTTTGGAGAAGTATCCCACAGCCCTCCTCCATGCCCCCAGTTTCTGAGTTAGCATTCCCATGGCCAGGTGTTGCCATTTGTGTACAAACAACTTAAAGGGCTATGATAAATCAGGTGATCCAAGTGCTGGTGTGGACATGAGGGCCCTTTTCAAGTTTTTAAAGGCTGCTTGGCATTCAGGGGTCCACAATAGGTGGTTCTCTTTTGACTCCTTTAAGGCTTAATAAAGGGGCCTTACTGTCAATCCATAGTTAACAATCTGCGCTCTACACCAGCCGACCATTCACAGAAATGTCCCCAACTCTCGTGCAGTTCTTCGTTCTGGAGTTTGGCAGATTGCCTCTTTTCTGCTGTTTCCCAGTCTTTGTCCTTGTGAAATCTGGAGACCTAAGTAAATCACAGTCTCCTTTCCTATCTGAGCTTTACTTCTCAATGTGTGATATTCTCCTTGTCCCAAGAAATTTAACAGTTGTTTGTAGACATTCTTCCTGAGTTTCAGTTGCTAACAAAATATCATCTGCATACTGCAATATTGTTCCTTCTGGGTTTTCCTTTTTCCATAACTCCAGCTCCTTTGCCAATTGATTGCCAAATATTGTTGGGCTGTTCTTAAGCCCTTGAGGCAGCACTGTCCAAGTGAGTAGCATGTTACATCAGGTGTTGAGGTTCTCCCATTCGAAAGCAAATATTGCCTGACTGTTTCTGTCAAGGGGTATGCAGAAGAAGGCATCCTTTAGATTGAGCACAGTGAACCATCCATGGTTCTCCTTTAAATTTGGTGTAAGGTATACGGGTTAACCACTACTAGGTGGATATCTTGTACAATTTGATTTATTGCCCTTAAATCTTGAACTAATCTATACTGCCCATTAAGTTAAAAACCCATACTTTAGAAACTAACTGTACTTTCTAGGCCCTTCCTTGTTTCTAGTTTGAGGGGATATTGCCTTAGTCTTACCAGCCTAGTCCCTGATTTTAGTGTAACCTTGACCAGGTCCACCAGCTTGGACCGACCGGGAATTTCTTCTGCCCATACCAGGGGGGTCACTGCATCCTCTACTTCGATCAGGATCTTTTCCTCCTGCTTGTCCTCGAACACAAAAGCACTCGCTTCCACGACTTTTGATTCAGGTATCAATAACCGCACATCACTGTCTTTGAAGATTATATTTGCCTCTAATTTGCTTAATAAGTCCCTACCAGTCAAAGGCTTAGGACAGTTGGGCATGTATAGAAATTGGTGAGTTATCCGTTGTTTTCCCCAACTTGAATTTTAGAGGTTTTAAAGAAGGCCGTATTTCCTTGTTCCCTGTGGCACCAACAATGCTTACAGTATAAGAGCTAAAATTTCCTTTGCAAGTATTAAGTACATAATAGGTAGCTCCTGTATTGACCAAAAATTCTATTTCTTCATACCCTAGTCTTAATGTAACCAGAGGGTTGAATCCCCCAGTCCCTGTAAGTAATGTTTGTCTAATGCCATCAATTTGACCGCTTTTTTAGAACAGAGTCCAACTTTTCTGCTTGTGGTCATTTGTTTTTCCAGTGTCCCTTTTTCCTGCAGAGAGCACTGAACC